AGAGCGCTGGCTTCTTCCGGGAGCCTGGGGGGGGGAAAATCCCCCGTGGTCGTGAGCGGAGGGGCCAGAGCCGGGGGCACCTGCCTTCCCTGCCCTGTGCCAGCCCTCCTACCCAGCCCCACAGACCGGGGAGCACCCACCTGGGCTTCTCTTCACCTCCTGGTGCCCGTCACGCGGGGGGGACGCTGCACAGCTCCTCAGCTCCTCCAGCTTGGCAAGCCGCCTGTGCCCGGCTGGCTGGCGGTTCCTGATGCGCAGGCTGTACTGGCGCGCCAGCTGGTACACCTTGTTCTTCAGGCGCTCGCTCAGCTCGGCCTCCGAGAGCGGCGGGACCCGGGGACACGGCTTGGCGGGGTGGCCCAGTTCCTGCGCCAGTCTCTGCAGCTGGCCGGCCAGCCTGGCGGGCCCCGCTCGCTCCGTGGGGGACCGGCTCTCGGGCGAGGGCCCGGCCGACTCCTCTGCGATGGCGCTCAGCTCGTCGTCCTCCAGGATGAGCAGCGGCTCGTGCAGGTCCAAGCCGTTCTCCTGGCTCCTGTCCAGGGGCCACGCAGCGGTGGCACCAGCTGCGCCCTCCCCGCTGCCCCTCTCCGGGCAGGGCTGGCCGGCGCTCAGCTTCTCCATGCCCTCCCACACCTTGATCATCTCGGCGGGTGGACGGAACTCCTCCTCGGTGACAGGGGTGCTGGGCTCGGCCCTGGACCTGGCGGTGGGGACGCCCGCCAGCACCCAAGCGGCGGTCCGCCCGCCGCTCCCCGAGCCACCCGCTCCCCGCCTGGCGTCGGCGTGCTGCTCCGGTGGCGGGAGGCTGTTGAGACGGCAGACCGAGTTCCTCACCAGCCCCTTGGGGATGTAGGAGAGGCTCTCCCGGCGCCGGATGCTGAAGCCGGCGTCGCGGTGCTCCGCGCACTCATAGTAGCTCTTGATCTTGTCCAGCAGCAGCCGGTCCCGCTGGGAGAGCATGGACTCTTTTCTGTGGCAGGGGGTGCGCTCGGGCTCCAAGGAGCCGGGCGAAGCGGCCCCGCTGCGGGTGGAGCCTGGCGGCGAGATGCGGCCCTGGGAGTTGGCGGCGCTGCCGCGGCCCTGCCCCTTCTCGCTGCCCTCCAGGCTCAGCACGCTGCTGCTCCGGCTGACCAGCCTGGGCGTCAGGAAGCCCCCGGGCCGGCCCTCCTCCAGCGCCAGGCTGCTGCGCCGTGAGAAGCTGCTGGCGAACATCTCGGCGATGAGGCTGGCGTGGTCCAGCACCGACGGGGGCAGAATGCTCCTCGCCCTGGTCTCCTCCTCCTCCTCCTCTTCCTCGCTGCTCAGGGCTTTGAGGTCCTCCATGTTCTCCGCCGTGGCCAGGCTCTGCTCCTGCTCCATCGCCCTCTGCTGGGCCGGCTCGGGGGTGCTCGCGGCCTCAGGGGACTCCTCTGGGCCCTCTTCCTCGGGCAGCCCACTGGGCTCCGGGGCAGCCTGCGGGGCAGCATGGAGAGTGAGTGGAGGCGTGTGCTTCCCCAAACAGCAGCCCGCCCACCCTGACCCAGCGCCCGACGCGCCATCCCTGGGGCGCTGGCTCGTCTCCTCCAGGGCGGGAAGGAGCCCGGGATTCCTGCGGATTCTGAGGCACAGGGGAATTGCCGGGCTGGTGCCCCAGCTCTGACCCCAGTCCGTGCCAGAAGTGGGACCCCTGCGGCAGCTGCTGGGAGATAATTGGCCTTCATATAGATCTCATGCCCCAATGTTTGAAGCACTCGCTGCTGTCTTACGCTGCACATTGATCGCCATACAAGCGTCCAATGTTTTTTTTCTCATCTTGCTCAGCTCCTGGTCCTCCCCCAACCTTCCTGTGGCAGGGAGTTCCACAGGCTGATCACCCGTTGGGTGAAAAGGGGGTGAATTGCCTTTCACTGGTTATCAAGTTACCATTTTTGATTTCCTTCAATGCCCCCTTGAAGGAAGCCAAGAAGGGGTCTTCTCCTTCAGAGGTACAGGGGCAGGCTGGCTGGAGACAGACTCGGCAACTCCCACCCATCAGCCAGGGAAAAGGAAGGGGATGTTGGCTAGCGGCAAGAGATGCACTAGGAGTCAGGTTCTATCCCTGGCTCTGGTGGTTAGAGCAGGGGGCTGGGAGCCAGGACTCCTGGGTTCTATCCCTGGCCCTGGGAAGGGAATGGGGTCTGGTGGTTAAAGCATAGGGCTGGGAGTCAGGACTCCTGGGTTCTAGCCCCAGGTTCAGGGAGCCACTGTGAGCAGTGGTAAGAGCAGAGGACAAGACGACGACTGGGTCCTGGTGCTGTCGCTCTCTTGTTGCATCATCCCACCTCATTGTGCCTCAGTTTCCCAATCTACAGCAGTCCAATTACCTGGCAGGGCAGTGTTGGGTGAACAGGCCCTTGCCATGGGCTGTGAAATTCACAGGCGGAAGGTGCTATAGTGAAGTGCAAATGCTGATTGGTCAGGAGGTCGCTGCTCCGGTGGTACGAAGGAAGCGAGCAGAGACTCAGGACACCTGCGATCTATCCTGGCTCCATCATTGCCCCGCTGGGAGACCTCAGCAGCACAGGGTGGTGCCTGTCTCCCTTTGGCTGGGAGCTCTTTGGGGCTAGGCCAGTGTCTGTGCAGCGCCCAGCTTGACAGCCCACCCCCCCCTCGGCTGTGCGGATGGGGTGTTCTGGGCAGCACTCAGCCCAATGGGGTCCCCCCGACCTCGGGTCTGCGCAGCGCCCAACCCCCCGGGCTCGGTGAAAGATAATGGGAAAGGTGGCCCATTCACCCCCATGGGGTCGTCTCTCACTCACCTCCAGGATGGCCGAGGCCATCTCTGCACTGCGACGGTTCTCGGGGCTCCCTGGCTCCTGGCTTCCCTTGGGCCCCTTGCCCTGAAACACAGTAAAGGGGACGCGTTACACCGCTGAGCCACGGCTCAGACAGCCATGGTGGCACCGTGCCGGCCCGAGAACCTCAGAGCCCCAGAGCAGCAGCCCAATTCCGACCCGGTCAAGCGCCAGCGTCCTCCACCGCAACGTCCTAGAGGTCTTGGTTCTGGCACTAGAGCTGTGGAGCGAGATCCGCCGGCCAGCCCCAGATGGGTTCCGATGTCAGAGCTCCCAGCAGAGACCTGGCACTGTTCAGATCGGCTGCACGTCGCCTTCCTGCTCCAAGGGAACCGGACCAGCTTCCCCTTGGGAGAAACGGGCCGACAGAGGGGGCCGCCTCTGGCATGCCAGCCAGCCATGAGTGGGGTTAGATGGAGGGGTGCAAAGCATGCTGGGAGTCACAGCGGCCACTCCGTCAGGTCAGTGAAGGGTTAATAGCTCCAATCCAGCCGGGGGTCCTGATCAGCCTGCCCCGAGCAGGGCGGCAGGTGGGAGATAGAGGAGAGCGGGGGGGCAGGCAGTCCCGAGCCATGCGCCAGGCCAGCATGCAAGAGGGGGTTGGAGAGACACCTCACCGTGCGGCCCCGGGAGAAAAGCAAAGCGTTGGCCCGACAGTGCCAGCCGTGCAGCGCCGCCAGCAGGAAGCTCGCAAAGTCAGCTACCTGCTCCTCGCCCACCGGGCCCTCCTCCTCCGGCCCAGCTCCCTTCTCGCTGCTGTCACTCACAGCCAGCTCCTCCAGTGAGCCCTGCCCCAGGGCCTGCTCTTCCTCCTTCCCCACGGCTGCTTCCTCCTCCTCCGCGCCCCCCTCGCCCTCAGCCGGCTGCCAAGCGCTGCCAGGGACCTGCAAGGGCGCCCCGGCCTCCAGGAGGGCTCCGGTGCTGTCGGCGTGCTGTTCAGGGGACAAACAAGGGCTCCCTTTAGGGCCACCTCATCCCTGGGCGCCGGAGCTGCTGGCGGGGCCCCGACAGGGCCAGTCGTGGTGTGTCCCCCGACCAGCCCCTGTCCTGATTCCATGTGACTGCAAAAAGCTGGGGGCCACTAGGCCGTGCGTGCTGGGGCACAAGCGCGTGGGTGTGAACGTACGTGCGACTGGCAAAGGGGGGCTGCGTGCGTTCGATGCACATACAGTGTTCGAGGAACCCCAGGCTGCACAGAAACATCGCGGCAAGACCCCCCCCAACGCCCACTGCTACTCAGCTGGCATCTTCAGCCCCTCCGCGCCCTCCCACCGCCCCCAGGCTCAGGCGGCTTCCAGATCTTTGACACAGTCGACATGACATTCTGCTAGGAAAGCTGGAGAAATGTGGGGTCGGCAGAACTACCATGAAGTGGATACAAAATTGGTTAAACAACGGCAGACAAAGAG